GACCATACAATAAGTGTCAGGGGCCCGAGACTGTTCAACTGCCTCCCAGCACACATAAGGGGGATTACCAACAGACCCCTGGCAGTCTTCAAGCTGGCACTGGACAAGCACCTAAAGTCAGTTCCTGATCAGCCGGGCTGTGGCTCGTACGTTGGTTTGCGTGCAGCCAGCAGCAACAGCCTGGTTGATCAGGCGCTGATCCACCAGGAGGCCTGGTCACAGACCGGGCGCGGGGGCGTTGACCCCCGAAACTCTCTTCAGTAAACTCCAGGTAAATATATATATATATATATATATAATATATATATATATATATATATATATATATATATATATATATATATATATATATATATATATATATATATATATAATATATATATATATATAATATATATATATATATAGCAGTTAGGGAAATCACAGTCAGACTGACCAGCGAGCTAAACATCTGGTTCCTAGATGATAGCACACTAGCAGGTACAAAGGAGTCCCTCCTACATGACCTTACACAGGTAATGACACGGGGACAGAAATGGGTCTCATCCTGAATCCATCCAAATGTGAAATCATCTCAGTCAGTCAACAAGTGATAAATGCAGTGAGATCAAAACTACCAGGGGCAGCAGTTATTGCCCCCACAAATAGTGTCTTGCTAGGAGCACCTCTGGGAAGCAATGCCATTGACACAATTCTCAGGAAGAAATTGGAAGAGTTAAGGAGAATGGAACAACGAATAGGCAATCTGGACACCCACGATGCCTTGTACCTTCTCACAAAGTGCTTGAGTCTGCCCAGGTTGACATATTTCCTAAGATGTGCACCTTCATATGATAACCCTATACTGCACGAATATGACAGTATTCTGAGGCAGATTTTTACGAAAGTACTTAACCTTACTCTAGAAGACGGGCAGTGGAACCAAGCTACACTTCCAGTCAGACTAGGATGCATTGGTGTCCGCAAGTCATCACAGATTGCGTTACCTGCTTTTCTGTCCTCGTGTATTGCATCCAGAGTGCTTGTAGCAGCGATTCTCCCTGAACATCTTAGGGACAAGATTGGAGTCTCACTCCTGAGATCAATCTTTAAGTAAGCACTGAATTTGTCTCTGGAATTCAGCAGTGGTATCAGGCAACCCTCCCAGTGCGACAGGGAGGTATAGGGGTGCGCAAAGCAACGCAGGCAGCTTTACCTGCATTTCTGTCTTCGTGTTTGGCTTCCGATGGACTAGTCAAGGAGATTGCCCCTGAACGCTTGAGAGGTGTGGTAGGAGCTCAAGACCCCAGGTTCATTGGAGCAGCCGTGTGGTGGGACACCCTTGCCGACTCCTCCAGTAGACCAGCTTCTCCCAAAGACCACAAACAGTCCCACTGGGACAAACTGATCATGGAAACAATAGCCAACACAATGCTCACTAATGCATCAGGAAAGGACAAAGCTCGTCTCCTAGTGGTGAAGGCACAGCATGCAGGAGATTTCCTTCTAGCTGTTCTCAATTCCTCTCTGGGCACTCGACTCGGCCCACAGGCCATTCGGATTGGTGTTGCTCTTCGCCTAGCCACCCCCATACTCACCGAACATAGATGTATTTGCGGCAGGGCAACGGCTGATCAATTCGGACTTCATGACCTTGTGTGCCACATCAGAAGGGAAGCATGCTAGACATGAGGTCAACGACATCATAAAAAGAAGCCTCACCACAGCCCGTTGCCAAGCTCAACGGGAACCCCATGTACAGAGGTCTGACAGAAGGATGGTAAGCAGATTGCCTGGGACTACACATGTGCCGCCACATTGGCGGACATTCCTTTAAGAAATAGGAGGAGTAGATGTAAAATAAGAAGAGACAGGCGCTCCCTTTACAGGCGACGGAAAAGAATAACAGACCGGCTAAAATAGGCCAATATATCTGAAATGCGTAGGGAGACACTGGTCAGAGAAATAGCAAACATCGAGCTACAGCTAAAAGAATCTTATAGGAGTCAGGAATCGCGGGAAGAACTAAAAGCCATAATTGAAATCGAAAGAAACCCAAAGTATTTCTTTTCTTATGCCAAATCAAAGTCGAGAACAACATCCAGTATTGGGCCCCTACTTAAACAAGATGGGTCCTACACAGATGACAGCAAGGAAATGAGTGAGCTACTCAAGTCCCAATGTGACTCAGTTTTTAGCAAGTCGCTAACCAGACTGAGAGTCGAAGATCTAAAAGAATTTTTTATGAGAGAGCCACAGAATTTGGTAAACACGAGCCTATATGATGTTATCCTGACGCCAAATGACTTCGAACAGGCGATAAATGACATGCCCATGCACTCTGCCCCAGGGCCAGACTCATGGAACTCCGTGTTCATCAAGAACTGCAAGAAACCCCTATCACGTGCTTTTACCATCCTATGGAGAGGAAGCATGAACACTGGGGTCGTCCCACAGTTACTAAAAACAACAGACATAGCCCCACTCCACAAAGGGGGCAGTAAAGCAATAGCAAAGAACTACAGACCGATAGCACTAACATCCCAGATCATAAAAATCTAGATGGGCCACCCATCTAGATACCCATCAGTTACACAACCCAGGGCAACATGGGTTTAGAGCAGGTCACTCCTGTCTGTCCCAACTATTGGATCACTACGACAAGGTCCTAAATATACTAGAAAACAAAAGGAATGCAGATGTAATATACACAGACTTTGCAAAACCCTTCGACAAGTGTGATAATCGCGTAATAGCACACAAAATGCGTGCTAAAGGAATAACAGGAAAAGTTGGTAGATGGATCTATAATTTCCTCAAAAACAGAACACAAAGAGTAGTAGTCAGCAGAGTAAAGTCTGAGGCGGCTACGGTGAAAAGCTCTGTTCCGCAAGGGACAGTACTCGCTCCCATCTTGTTTCTCATCCTCATAGCTGACACAGGCAAGGATGTCAGCCACAGCACCGTGTCTTCCTTTGCAGATGACACCCGAATCTGCATGACAGTGTCTTCCATTGCAGACACTGCAAGGCTCCAGGCGGACATCAACCAAATCTTCCAATGGGCTGAAGAAAACAATATGAAGTTCAACGATGAGAAATTTCAATTACTCCGATAAAGTAAACATGAGGAAATTAAAACTTCATCAGAGTATCAAACAAATTCCAGCCACAAAATAGAGCGAAAAACTAACGTCAAAGACCTGGGAGTGATTATGTCGGAGGGTCTCACCTTCAAGGACCATAACATTGTATCAATCACATCTGCTAGAAAAATGACAGGATGGATAATGAGAACCTTCAAAACTAGGGATGCCAAGCCCATGATGATACTCTTCATGTCGCTTATTCTATCTAGGCTGGAATAATGCTGCACATTAACAGCACCTTTCAAGGCAGGTGAAATTGCTGACCTAGAAAATGTACAGAGAACCTTCATGGCATGCATAACGGAGATAAAACACCTCAATTACTGGGAGCGCTTGAAGTTCCCGAACCTGTATTCCCTGGAACGCAGGCGGGAGAGATACATGATTACACCTGGAAAATCCTAGAGGGACTAGTACCAAACTTGCACACGAAAATCACTCACTACTAAAACAAAAGACTCGGCAGACAATGCAGCATCTCTCCAATGAAAAGCAGGGGTGTCACTAGGACGTTAAGAGACAACACAATAAGTGTCAGGGGCCCAAGACTGTTCAACTGCCTCCCAGCATACATAAGGGGGATTACCGATAGACCCCTGGCTGTTTTCAAGCAGGCACTGGACAAGCACCTAAAGTCGATACCTGACCAGCCGGGCTGTGGCTCGTACGTTGGATTGCGTGCAACCAGCAGTAACAGCCTGGTTGATCAGGCCCTGATCCACCATGAGGCCTGGTCACAGACGGGGCCGCGGGGGGAGTTGACCCCCGGAACTCTCTCCAGGTAAACTCCAGGTCTCCAGGTAAACACCTACTTGCAATACTCTGAAGGTAAAGGGGGTGGAGCTGCCAGCTACAGGGAGACCCAGAAGACCTGCAAATATGAAGGTCTTTCCCCTTGCTATAACTTGATCCCAATAGGGGCAAGTGTGACCTAAAGTTCCTCAAAGAGCTGGGTCAAAAACTCATCAGAAAAATCAAGGATCACAGGGCGGCCACCTCATTGTTGCGAACCAGAGGGGAAATGTCTGCAGCATACTGGGCATGCGGCCCACCGCCATGTAAACCAAACAATAACCAAATTTCTGTAAATTCAGCATTGTAATCCTTATAGAGAATAAACTTTGAATTTGAAGTATTCGAACTGTAACTCTGAGATGTTATCTAAATGCTATGCATGCTATGAACTTTCAGATTATTGTTTATGTACCTTAATTCGAAATAAAGTCATTATCGGGTGGCCCGGTGGCCTGGTGGCTAAAGCTCCCGCTTCACACACGGAGGCCCCGGGTTCGATTCCCGGCGGGTGGAAATATTTCGACACGTTTCCTTACACCTATTGTCCTGTTCACCTAGCAGCAAATAGGTACCTGGGTGTTAGTCGACTGGTGTGGGTCGCATCCTGGGGGACAAGATTAAGGACCCCAATGGAAATAAGTTAGACAGTCCTCGATGACGCACTGACTTTCTTGGGTTATCCTGGGTGGCTAACCCTCCGGGGTTAAAAATCCGAACGAAATCTTATATCTTATCTTATCTTATCATTAGCATTATCATTATCATCATTAATGCTAATACTGTAAGGAGATGTGACCAAATAAAACAAATGTAAAAACATCAACACAAATTTGCAGAGGTTTTACAAGTAAATATTTATTTAGCATTAAGCGCAACATTTTAAAAACCAAATAATGAATATAAATAACAAAATAAGATATTACAAGGACCCTTAATGGAAACAAATCACTGACTTTTTTTGGGTTATCCTAGGTAATTTACACATATGTTACTAGGTATGGTAATTGTACCTATGTGTACCTATACCTAAATAAACTTACTACTTACTTACCAGAATAATGCGAGTGTGAGGAAGGTTGGTGGGAGTGATGGTGGGTCCGGGGTGGGGGAGGATGGTCACTGTACACGTGTAAACAAGACAACATGGTGAAGGTGGTGGAGCAAGTTGTTCCCAGGAAGAGGAGGCGCTTTAATAAGAATAAGAAGAAAGCGTGGAGGAAGAAGACTAATATAGACGATGTTGAGGAAAATCTGGAAGAAGAAAGAAGGGAAGAGAGATATGGGTAAGGGTCTGCATATCCTGTTACTATCCTGTACTATAGTCAATACCAAATTCATTATATTAGACCATAATGCAATTACTAGTGAGAGACTGGTGCTATTTTTAATTTGTATTTTTATATTATTAGATTAAATCTAGTTGTACTATAGCTCATTCTAGCTCAAAACATAGACTCCACAAAAGTCATTACATTAGACCTTAGTGCAATTACAAGTGAGAGTCTTATTCTATTTTAAATTTGTATTTTTATATTACTAGTTTATACCTAGTTGTACTTTAGTTCATTCCAACACAACACATAGACAACATCAACTTCATTATGTGTAGTAGTGACTATACTCTATATGACCAAAATACTCTAGCTATATACTTGTCCAAACTTCCCACCACTACAGATATCAGTACTAGAACTCAACACATAACTCAGGATATAAATAACCATAATTTAAACCTAGAAGATGATTGATCACGTTGACCCTGATCTAAACCTCCATAATCTGACACACAATCAAAACCTATTGGAAAGTAACTGCCTTTATTACACAGCATCACAAGCCACCACTATCCTAAACAATGCTAAAAGGCTATCAGTACTTAACTACAACATCAGGTCCTTAAGCAAACACTATGATGACCTCCTGGCACTCCTTGAATCACTAAAGACACCCTTCTCCTGCATTATTCTTACTGAGACCTAGCTTAAGCAGGACACAATAGATATCTACCCTCTACCAGGATACACAGCAATCCACAACTGCAGACCATACCAAGTTGGGGGTGGTATTGCAATCTATTACTCTAACCAATTATCTTGTATTAGCACCACTTGCTTTAGTGATGAATATGGGGAATACATTTTTGCTAATTTTACTGTAAAAAACCTTAAGACGCCTATAACAATCGGTGCCATTTACCGGATACCTCACACAAACATCCCAAATTTCAGTGAGAAATTAAAGTCACTAATAACAAAGAGACAAATGAATAAGCACCACCTTCTCTTAGCTAGAGACTTCAACATCAACCTTGGCTTACTAGATGATCAGCCTGTAACTGATTTCATCAACAATATGAACAACACACTTCTCATACCAACAATAACTAAACCAACCAGGCTCACTGAGACAAGTGCAACCATAATAGACCACATATGGACCAATATACTAGCCCCCCTTAAATCAGGGATAATCACAGATAGCACTACAGACCACTACCCTACCTTCTTCCTGACAAACATTAGTAAACCACCACTTGAATTCAACAAAGTCTCATTTAGACTCCATGACGAGGCCTCAATAAGGAAGTTCACAGCTGACCTAGAGACTGTTGACTGGCCTACAGAATTCTCCAAGGCCAATGGTATTGATGACTGGACAAACATTTTTCTTAACAAATTACTTAGACTATACAACAAACATTGTCCTATAAAAACAAAACAGATCACAAACAAACGGCTTGGTTGCCCATGGCTAACCAGTACCATTCTGAAATCCATTGACAAGAAACACCAATATGAAAAGCAATATAGACAGGGCTTAATACACAAAGATATTCTTAAACACTATTCATCAGTTCTCACCAAAGTAATAAAGAAAGCCAAACAACTATACTACTCCAGTAGATTCACAGACACTAGAGGAGATATAAAAAAGACCTGGAAAACACTCTCTCAGATTCTAGGGACCCACAAACTGAAAAAAAACAAGAATATTGTCCTAACTAAACCTAATGAAACACCACTACATCCCACTGACACAGCTAACAAGATAAACAACTTCTTCTCAACCATAGGATCTAATCTCGCCAATAAAATCCCACATACCAATGCCCATGCCAAGGACTACCTAGATGGGAATTTCCCAAATTCCTTCTTCTATCTTGCACCAACTGAGCCCTCGGAAGTCACCGAGATTATAAAGTCACTTAAAAACAACTCAGGGAATCTGTCTAATGTCCCACCATTACTGTACAAGCGAGGGGCCCATATCCTTTCGCATGCTATTTCATTAGTTTTTAACAAGTCACTAGAAACTAGCACCTTCCCGAAACTACTCAAGATGGCAAGGGTTACACCAATACATAAAGGTGGTGACCCTACAGACTTAAACAACTATAGGCCAATATCAAACTTACCATTGCTATCCAAAATCTTTGAGAAACTCGTGCACAGGAGACTATATTCATTTATAACAACACAAAACATACTCAACCCCTGCCAATTTGGATTCAGGAAAAATAAAAGCCCCTAATGATGCAATCATAAAAATGCTAGATCTGCTTTACACAGCTTTGGAAAATAAGGAATATCCACTAGAATTTTTATTGACCTAAGAAAAGCTTTTGACACAGTAGACCACGACATCCTACTCCACAAACTTGACCATTTACGGTATAAGAGGCCATGCGCTTGCTTATTTCAAATCTTACCTTACTAATAGGTATCAGTATGTCACCATTAAAGACACAGCATCAACAACACGGCCACTTGATACTGGAGTTCCGCAGGGAAGTGTCCTTGGTCCCCTGCTCTTCCTCATATACATCAGTGATCTTCCAAACGTATCCCAACACCTGAAACCCATTCTCTTTGCTGACGACACGACTTATGTCATCTCTCACCCTAATCTTGCCACCCTCAACACCATTGTTAACGAGGAGCTGATCAAAATATCGACTTGGATGACAGCCAATAAACTTACACTTAACACTGACAAAACCTACTATGTTATGTTTGGTAGCAGAGCAGGAGATGCACAAATTAACATTAAGATCGACAACACTCTAATTACCAGACATAATGAGGGCAAATTCCTAGGCCTATACCTTGACAACAACCTGAATTTCAGCCCCCATATCCAACACATAACCAAAAAAGTATCCAAAACGGTTGGGATCCTCTCCAAGATACGATACTACGTGCCGCAAAATGCCCTTCTCACACTATACCACTCACTTATTTATCCATACCTCACCTATGCTATTTGTGCTTGGGGATCAACTGCAGCAACACACCTAAAGCCAATAATAACCCAACAAAAAGCTGCAGTAAGAATAATCACTAAATCCCATCCCTGGCAACACACCCCCCCCACTCTTCATAGATCTAAACTTACTCCCTGTTCAGGACATCCACACTTACTACTGTGCAATCTACATCTACAGGACCCTAAACTCCAATATCAACCTTGACCTAAAACGCTTTCTTGATAGTTGTGACAGAACCCACAGGCATAACACCAGACACAAACATCTCTATGACATTCCCCGTGTCCGACTAAACCTTTACAAAAATTCAATGTATGTCAAAGGCCCTAAAATCTGGAACACCCTACCTGAGAACTCTAGAACTGCAGACACATTCATCACCTTCAAAACTACCATTAGAAAACATCTTATCTCCCTGATACACCCCATCAACTAACTACACAAATACCACCTGGTGGTTCACACTTACACTCACTCACCCATTTGACCATAAACAGAAATATTAATCTCAATCTTAAAATAATGAATCCTATGATACTCCAATACTGAAACTATGTACTGTGCCAAAACAAAAGCATTCACATTGCTAAACTCACAAACTAGTATTTAGTCACTTAGCCATAATACCAACTTACCTCATAATTTGTAATATTTTAAAACAAAGAATTAAACTAAGTCTGCCCGAAATGCCTAGCCATGCTAGGCGTTCTAGTGGTACACTCTGTAATCATTATTTAACTACATGTAAACCACACAACAACCAAATTCTGTAAATTCAACATTGTAATCTTTATAGAGAATAAACTTTGAATCATCTGCCATACTACTATTTTGTGTTCCTGACTTTCATTATTTTGGCTTAAATAGTAATTGCATGTTTTCCATACATAGAAGAGCATGGTATATATACCAAGAATTGTATATATACAGTATGTCTGTGTCAGTGCCCACAGCAGTCCACTAACTCCTAGGTATCTACCTAGTGGCAGTAATGTCTCTAGGCTCATACTTGCTTTAAACCTGTTTACCTCACGGAAGGTTCCTTGAAGTTGGTGAGGGGCTCTTGATTTAGGGAATTGGATCTGTGCTCCAGTTCCCCGAATTAAGCCTGAATACCTTCCACGTCCCCCCGGCGCTGTATAATCCTATGGGTTTAGCGCTTCCCCTTGATTATAATAATAATAATTTAAACCTGTTTACCTTTTTTTACATTTAGTAATTTATTCAGAAGGGATTACTAGCCATTTCTCCCAGCATTTTAGTTGCCTCTTACAAAACAATGTTGATTTAGGTTGTAAGTTTATTTAGGTACAGATAAACATAACTACAATTATCATAAGCAAGTTTATTCAGGTATACACAAATACAGTTTATAGATTATCATAAGATAACCCAAAAATGTCAGATAATAACTTATTTCCATGTTTATATTGTTTGTTTGAAAATGAAACTGGTTTAAAATAATAAAACAATACCTATATTGTACATGTGAAAGGTTGCACGTAGTTTATTCTATACACTTATATCTGATAGTTTTTCCTTGTAATGTATTTGTAGTTGTAGATTTATGATTGGTTGTTATTAATCTTATTTTTGTGTATTACACAGAGGTCCCCTAGAGGAGAGATGTGATAAAGAGTTACTATTTCTGGATGTTGGGGAGGCAGATCCCAAAGTGGAGTTGAAAGATGATGGTAAGTTTTTTTTATGTACAATAGTTATGCTTAGAGAATAACCCATAGAAACAAAATTCTTAAAACTTTTATAGGTGTGATTACTTATAAATAAATTACTTTTGCATGAATGAGGAGAAAAAAGAAATACTGTATATACAGTACTCTTAATATTTAACTGAATGAAAGTTAATTATAATAAGTGGCTGTAGGTGGCATGTCTTATTTTGTTATATTTGGCATGATGGCGAGTTATTATTATAGCTTTTTCATTTACAGTATTTAGTACTTTTTTCTGTCCAATTACATTAGATGTATGTTATGTTAAAGAATACACAAATGCATAGACAGAATGATAATATGAGTAGAATTAAGATATAAATGTGCAATATTTTATACCAAGTATTCACTTTATTTTAATTAAAACATTATTGAGCATTTGGTTTAATTTATGCAGTTTCTTTCCTCTATACTATTGCTATTGTTTTATTTATTATTTATAAATCTAAAACTCATGCAGATTTAGTTGGCTCCAAATTAATAGTATGAACACATTTTAATATACATGAAATATTCAGATTTCACTTTTGAATACACTGTGGATAAGATACCAGAGGATTCCTGTAGTGCAAAAAAGGCCACAAAAGTTGCATTGAAGCCAAGCTCTAAGAAACATCAGGTGAAGACATTGAAGGCCCACCAGTTTATAAATGGCTTACAAGGAGTTAAGCCACCCCACAAGCCAAGGTATGTACTTTCCTGTATAACAGTGCTTATCAGGCAATTTAAAATACAGTACTTGTAGTTAATGTGCCCAACCTACCTGTATTAGGAGTCACTGTCAAGTGCATTGGTAAACTATGCAGCATAACCCACTTTTTGAGAGGAAGAGAATGAAGATCACTTGACAGTGGAAGTCATGGGGATTGGCCTAGAAACTTTCAGAAGTTGGGATCTATTTTATGTCACTGCTAAGATTTAAAGTGGAGGAAATGCTTTTGTGGTAGTACAGTATGTATATAACATAAAACTAGTGCACTCCCATCATACGTGGGGTGTTAATGTTGCAGTTTAAAAACTGTAGTGTAAAGCACCCTTCTGGCAAGACAGTGATGGAGTGAATGATGGTGAAAGTTTTTCTTTTTCGGGCCACCCTGCCTTGGTGGGAATCGGCCAGTGTGATAATAATAATAAAAAAAAAATTTCTCTTGCTTCTGGCTGGTGATAATTCCCTATTTCTTTTAATACATTTGTGTAAATCATGGCATGCAGCAATTTCTACATAGTTATTAAAGAGGTTTTATCCGTGTTATGTAATTACTTATACAGTATAGCTGTGAATTTTTTTTCTTGCAGTGAAATTAGGATACATTATTATGTTTGTTATGTCATATTAGATGGATTGTGATAAATAAGCCGTAGGGTTGATATTAGGGAAATTATTGAAGTATTCTTTTGTGCCTGGAATTCCACTGGAACGAATTAACTCCATTTCAGTTAATTTAAATGAGGAAAATTTACTCTGCAAACGAGCAAATCCAGATGTGAGCAAGGCCACGGAACGGGTTAAACTCGTAAGTAGAGGTTCCATTGTATAACCCAAAAAAGTCAGTGACTAACTAGTACCATCCGACTTACGACCGAGCTTGATTCCAACCAACCGTTCATAAGTCAAAATGGACACAAGTCGAGCCTTAGAAAATTGCCGACATACTGGGTAGGGCATAATGTCAAACCTTTGCTATATAAAGTACTTACATAGTATCGTACGTTAGTTTTTACTAAAGGTCGCGAGAAATGTTGTTGACGTTTTATCCATTCTCATACTGCTTAATTACTTTCATCTTCTGGTCGAGAGTAAGAGCCTTTCTTGCCTTCTTGCCACAAGCTTCAGTGCAAGATTCAGATTTCCTCTTAGTGGCCATGGTGAAATTTACTGTCCAGGTACATATATACAGTACAGTACAGTTAATACAGTATGATGCTGCTGATAGGGCAGGGTAACTCAAAGTGATGCTGCCCGAGTGATGTGAGAGCTCTCTCGAGATGGCACATTGCCATGAGTAGCGATCAACTGTCGTACGGTGGTATGCATCGGCCCGCCCAACCCTGCCAGATGTATGGTCGTAAGTATGAGTGGTCGTATATCAAGCAAGTTGTAAGTCGGATGGTACTAGTATTTCCACTGGGGCCCTTGAATTTAGTTATTAACTTCAGCCACTCTCCATTTGGGCCATTGCTTGGAAAATGACTAGTTATAAAATTTATTAATGTGCATAGTTTTATTAATTTGTCAACTGTATATATTAAGAATTCACACTTACCAACTGGTGCAACTTTAAATACTTTATATTTAAAGTCCAGTGAGAAAGCTAAATCTTATTGCTTTTGTGGGAGGAAAGTAACTTTTACTAATTATTGATAATGCAGATATTCACTTAATTTAATCAGAAAATAATTTTGTTAAATGTTGCAAAATAATACATACTCTATTCAAATGTTTTTTTTTTTTTTTTCAACAAACCGGCCGTATCCCACCAAGGCAGGGTGGCCCAAAAAGAAAAACAAAAGTTTCTCTTTTTAAATTTAGTAATTTATACAGGAGAAAGGGTTACTAGCCCCTTGCTCCTGGCATTTTAGTTGCCTCTTACAACACGCATAGCTTACAGAGGAAGAATTCTGTCCCACTTCCCCATGGAGATAAGAGGAAATAAACAAGAACAAGAACTAGTAAGAAAATAGAAGAAAACCCAGAGGGGTGTGTGTATATATATATGCTTGTACATGTATGTGTAGTGTGACCTAAGTGTAAGCAGAAGTAGCAAGACGTACCTGAAACCTTGCATGTTTATGAGACAAAAAATGGACACCAGCAATCCTACCATCATGTAAAACAATTACAGGCTTTCGTTTTACACTCACTTGGCAGGACAGTAGTACCTCCCTGGGCGGTTGCTGTCTACCAACCTACTACCTAGGTCAAATATGTGTTCTAAGTATAAATAGAATCATAATTTGGGCTGACAAGAAATTATTTTGTGCAGTTCAAATGATCATACACATTTACATAGTAGTAATAATAATAATATAATGTCTTTATTTATACAAGTACATGTACAAGGTATACAGGCCTAGCTTGTTATGCAGAGCATTTCAGGCAAATTAGGTCAGTTTTGTCCCAGGATGTGACTTACACCAGTCAACTAACACCCAGGTACCCATTTTACTGATGGGTGAATATAGACAACCGGTGTAAGGAAACATGCACAATGTTTCTACGCTCGCTGGGAATTAAACCCGGACCTCACTGTTCATACTATTATTTACATTACAGATTGAAAAAAGATGGACTGTCTGTAAAAATGAAGAAAAAGGCACAGTTAGAAGCAAAAGATCCAAAATTAGCCAAAAAAGCTGTGCAGAAACTGAAAGAAATAGCAGCAGCTAATAAGAAAAGATCTAACAGACCCAGGACTGTCATAAGAACAAAGTTTGAAGATGATTTGTGGACCACAGGAGGTAAGCTGGTTTACATTGTGGGTCTTTGTTTTTCTATCTATCTCAGATCTTGTCTGCCAGTTCATCACCGTCTTTAATGTCTTTTTTTCTGTGGTATAGTAGTTGTTCTTCCCTGTAGGTTGGAGAATGCAGATAGAATTTTTTCCTTGATCCTGACTTAACGTACTGGTGCATTTCATTTGTTTGGAAGTAATGTGTTATTACTGATTTATGGCCACTTTCTAAAAATTAGAGATGAATGTATGTACTTACAACATTATTTACATAAAAAGATAGCAAGAGAAATTTAGTATAGCACAGAGCAACTTTGTTGAAAAGATGATGTAATTATAAAAAAATATAACATATCTTCAAGGGATATTGTAATATAGCTGAAGGTCAGTGATTGAGAATACCTAGCCTATTACAGTAGGGTCCCGCTTTACAGAGTTTCACCTTACGGCATTCTGCTAATACGGACATTTCAAATTATGACCAAAACTCTCTATACAGATCCCCCACCTGACTTTCTAATATATTCACCGCACCCCACCCGGTTTGTTTACATTCTCCGTGAGCACCGCGTGTCTATTATGTCTGGAAACATTCCAAAATTTCAAGTGTTTTAAAGTTATTTCATATTTTATACATACACTGATAATTATACTTATGTGTACCTGTACCTAAATTAACTTACACACTGTGCTGGCATCCAGGCACACATTAAAATCACTAAGAGTGCCTTATTAATCTTGAGGATGCCATATTAATAATGATAATAATATGCAATAATAATCAGGCTGAGGTGCATTAAATGTTGTATATTATGTTAATATAAACATTTTCATTAATCCATCTAAGATATTTTTGCAAAATTATATAATAAACATGCTACGTAACACATAAACATGATAAATACACTCCATAGTAGAATAAATTAAGATAAATATGAGATGTTACATGTAGATGAATGTGTATGAACCAAAACCAGACGTGTTCATCTGCTTGTTTACATACTCTGCGTGTCTCTCCTCTCTCATTTACCCGTTCTCTCTCTTTTTATTCGTTTTACCTTGTTCACTCACCTCTCACCCTACAGTAAGACTACAGATATTTTAAGGTAAGTAATGAGTGTATTGTCTATGCATTTTATCACTCTGGGACACTTTAAATGTCGTAGTATATTATGTGTGGGTGGGGTGGCCTGGCTGGCTACCATACCTCCCACACCTGACTTCTTACAATAAATGCTATTCACCTCTCACCCTACATTAAGACTACAAATATTTTAAGGTAAATAATGAGTGTACTGTGTGTGTATTTTACTTTTTATTGTTTTTAATGCTTAGTTCTGTTGCTAACTTAATATATGTTATTGTAAACTTGTTATCTGGCATTTATAAGTGGAGAAAAATGGCGTTCTGCTTTCCAGCGATGTCCACTTTCCAGCGGTAGCCTGGAACCTAACCTGCAGTATAAGTAGGGCCCTACTATACTTGTTGATTGTGCATCTATGGTTATAAACTGCTGTGGATGGATGGATGGATGGGGATGTTGCAGTGTGGTGGATTGTTGAAATTTTGTCTGTGTTCATTTGGAAAGACAACTAGGAAATTCTTTGGTCACCCCCAGCCTTGGTAGGAAATGGCAGTTTTTAAAATTTCTTTGGCATTACTATTATGTAAAATGTATCTTTGTCTTGCTATATTAGACACACGGTTTGTTTTTCAGCTGATGATGTTACACAAGAATGCAATAAGAAGGGTCTTGAAGATTCTTTTATCAAAGATATAGCTAAGCACTATGGGATAATGAGAAAATTACGACCAGTCAATGTTCCCAAGTGTAAATATGTTAAACCATCTAAACTTAAAGCAGTGCGACCACCACATTCAGGTACTGTATAAGGACATTATTTTGAGTTCTGGTGGGTAGTTGTACATTATATATTATATACATTTAATAAAAATTCTTGTCATAGGATCAATTGTCATATTACAACAATTTACATTTGAAGGTCCATATTACTTCTCCACTAAGCAGCAGTTATTCTATTCTTGGTGGCATTTGCATGGAAAACCTACTGTGGGGAATATATTCAAATTCAAAATTTTTATTTCTTTGTGAAGTTTACAACATGAGGTTTACATATTACAAAATATAAAGTACAGTACAAAGAAAGCCACTAGCATATCTAGGCATTTCGGGCAGATTAATCCTAATTCTTACTGACTACTTGATATTGATACAGGTTATGGAGTGGTACATGCTAATGCTAATTAATTCACGTTATTGCAAAAGTTAGGAATTTTATGATAAGATTTATAATAGTGTGGTAGCAAAATGCAATAGTATTACAATTAATGTAATTTAGTAATGAGAATGGTTTTATCTTGGTATGCTACAATGATTTTACAAAGTTGAAAGCCCCTATATAGCAGACAGGCAGTCTTATGACTAACTTAAGATTAAGAAGGCAATAACAATTTTAGGAATTTTAAGTTTACAGTCATCTAGTGCTTGGAAGAATTACAGTTAAGGAGAGTAAGTCTATTTTCTTTCGAGTGTGTTCCTGACATTGAAGATAAGCATGTGTAGTTTTCACTTAATTAGCTGATGATTGTATATGTTATAGAGAGGGTTTTTAATGGTAGTTTTGAAAATGTTGGCCGAGTTAGTACATCTGGAGATTTCAGGCTGGGAGTTCCAGATTTTGGGCCCTTTAACCTGTAATGCCTAAGACAGCAATGCCTAAGCGTTGAAGACAGCAATGCCTAAGCGTACATAATAAGGCAAATAGATTACTGGGATTTATATCAAGAAGTTAAGGCAACAGAAGTCCAAGGTCATACTGCAGCTTTATTACCCTCATTAGTAGGCTCACCTAGATATGCAGCTCTTCTGTCCCATATTACAGATGGACATAAATTCGTTAGAAAACATTCAGCTAGATGATAATTAATACATAGAATTAGAAATCTTCCTTAGAAGAAGATGAGATCTTAGTTACATTCACTTGTTAGACCAAAGAATGAGGGGAGACCTGATCGAAGGTGATAAGTGGAAGATAGGTAATTATAAAGGGGATATTAACAAGGTCTGAGGCAATCTCTCCAAGAGAGAACCCGCATAAGGATTTAAATAAGATAAATTTAGATTTAGAAAGGACATAGGAAAGTATTGGTTTGGAAATAGGGTAGTTGATGAGTGGAACAGTCTACCTAGTTGGGTTATTGAGGCTAGGACTTTGGGTAGTTTCAAATTTAGGTTGGATAAGTACATGATTGGGAGAGGTTGGATTTGAGTGGGACTTTCACATCAGAGCTTATTTCTTGGGTGGCATTGAAAGTTGGGTTGGGCAAATGTTTGTTAGTGGGATGAATTGTAAAGGACCTGCCTAGTATGGGCCAACAGGCCTGCTGCAGTGTTCCTCCTTTCTTATGTTCTTATGTAAACGGTCCAAACGTATATATACGTTTTTTCGACATTTGAAAGTATGTAAAAAAAGATCTTCTTTTTGTTTTTTTACATTTGAAAATGTGTAAAAAGACTTTGATCTACTTTTTTTTTGTTATATTTGAAAATATGTAAAAAAAAATGTAGATCTACTTTTGTAGCACTACACGTGAATGTAGATCTGCTTGGACCGTTTATGGGTTAAGGGAGGGGCTAGTGGAACCACCAATATACAGTGGTCCCTCGTTTTTCGTAATTAATCCGTTCCTGGAGGTGCTACTATTATCGAAATCTACGATTTTCGAATCAATTTTCCCCATAAGAAATAATGTAAATACAATTAATCCGTTCATGACACCCAGAAGTATCAACAATATTTTTTTACCTTAAAGATAGATTTACATGCACAAAAGAATGAACATTCAACATGACAGTTACCTTTGTTAGGTAAGACACACATGCAACAGTTAGACAACTTTATTCCGAAATGTTTCGCCTACACAGTAGGCTTCTTCAGTCGAATACAGAAAATAGACAGGAACAGTAGAGATGTGAAGACGATGTAATCAGTCCATCACCCTTGTAGTCGTAGAATTTGAGGTTGTCAGTCCCTCGGCCTGGAGAAGTTCAGTTCCATAGTCAGGAACTATCTGAAGATCAAGCGACAGTGCGGAGACTTAAATACTGTCTTAACTTTCATAAGAACATAAGAAAGGAGGAACACTGCAGGAGGCCTGTTGGCTCATACTAAGCAGGTCCTTTACAATTCATCCCACTAACAAAACATTTGCCCAACCCAATTTTCAATGCCACCCAAGAAATAAGCTCTGATATGAAAGTCCCACTCAAATCCAACCCCTCCCACTCATGTACTTATCCAACCTAAATTTGAAACTACCCAAAGTCCCAGCCTCAATAACCCAACTAGGTAGACTGTTCCACTCATCAACTACCCTATTTCCAAACCAATACTTTCCTATGTCCTTTCTAAATCTAAACTTATCTAATTTAAATCCATTACTGCGGGTTCTCTCTTGGAGAGACATCCTCAAGACCTTATTAATATCCCCTTTATTAATACCTATCTTCCACTTATACACTTCGATCAGGTCTCCCCTCATTCTTCGTCTAACAAGTGAATGTAACTTAAGAGTCTTCAATCTTTCTTCATAAGGAAGATTTCTAATGCTATGTATTAATTTAGTCATCCTACGCTGAATGTTTTCTAACGAATTTATGTCCATTCTGTAATATGGAGACCAGAACTGAGCTGCATAATCTAGGTGAGGCCTTACTAATGATGTATAAAGCTGCAGTATGACCTCTGGACTTCTGTTGCTTACACTTCTTGATATAAATCCCAGTAATCTATTTGCCTTATTACGTATGCTTAGGCATTGCTGTCTTGGTTTAAGGTTGCTGCTCACCATAACCCCCAAGTCCTTTTCGCAATCTGTATGGCTAAGTTCTACATCATTTAACATATAAGTACTAGGGTTATGGGCACTCCCAAGCTTCAGAACCTTGCATTTATCTACATTGAACTGCATCTGCCACTTTTCTGACCAAGAATAGAGTTTGTTTAAATCCTCCTGAAGTTCCATAACATCTACGTTTGAATCAATTATCCTACCTATCTTTGTGTCATCGGCGAATTTGCTCATATCACTAGTAATTCCCTCATCAAGATCATTGATATATATTATAAACAACAACGGGCCCAAGACTGATCCCTGTGGAACGCCACTTGTCACAGATCCCCACTCGGAGTTAACCCCATTTATGGACACTCTCTACTTCCTGTGAGTGAGCCATGACTACTGGCCCATACAAGGCAGGTCCTTATCAAAATGACCTCTACACAAAGCTACCCAAGAATTTACTCCCGTACCCAATGACATAAATCAAACTCAGCTCCTCCCACTCACATATTTGTCCAATCTATTCTTAAAGCTACCCAAGATCCTAGCCTCGATCACCCTACTGGTAAGTGTGATGTTAAATAAGAACATAAGAACTTAAGAAAGTAGGAACACTGCAACACTCCTGCTGGCCTATACTAGGCAGGTCCTTCACAAATCAAACCCACTAACAGAACAAATGCTACCCAAGCAATAAGCTCAGGTGGAAACATTAACACACATGCAGTTTAATGTGATCCTTTATTGACAACGTTTCACCCACACAGTGGGCTTTTTCAAGTCATACACAGATCTACCTGGGGTGGAAGGTACGGGAGTATTTATAGTCAGGTTCAGAATGTTGAGGTCAGGTGAAGAATGCTGCATCTGATGATCTACCAGGTGGGCTTATAGAGTCTTGGGTAGCTTGGCAGGGGTATTGGACAAGTTGTGAGTAGACCTTCTGCAGTGTTCTATGTTCTTATGTGGGATAGCGATGAAGAAGTTTCTTTGCAAGTGGTTCAGCTATGTTATAGAAGACATTGTTCTGGTTGAAATTGTTGGTTATAGAGATAAGCAATGATTCCAGGATTCTTCGGTATTGAGTGTTGTCTTCTGTGGCGATATGTCTTGAGTTTCTGTAGTTAATTAAATGGTTGTGTGAATTGCGATGTTGTACACAGGCATTCCTTGTATCGTCAGTCCTGCTTGCGTATTGGTGTTCTGAAATACGTGTTTGGAGGTCTCTTGATGTTTCGCCCACGTATAATTTGTTGCAGTCATTACAAGGGATTATATACCCCTGCAGAGGATGGAAGCTTGTTCTGTCTACTACTGGTGATGTCCTTGATGGTCATGGTTGTGGAGGTAGATAACTTGGAATGATGTATTGGAAAAGATGTTGGAAATATGTTTGACAATGGAGTTGGTGGGGAGGACTATGTCTCTTCTCGGCAGTGTCTTCTCTGGGCGTGTTGAAGATGTTTAATGCCCGCCGTCTGCAGTCTCTGATGAAGTGACGAGGATAGTGGAGTTTAGAAAATACTTGTTCAATTATAGTGCATTCTTCCTCAAGGAACTCATTGCTGCAGATTCTGAGTGCGCGCAGGAAGAAGCCTATAATTACACCACGTTTAGTTTTGGTGTCATGGTGAGAGTAGAAGTGGGGAAGATCGTTTTGGTTGGTTGGTTTTCGATAGACTTTAAAACAAAGTTCATGGTCAGTTTTGCAGAGAAGAACATCAAGGAAAGGAAGAGTGTTGTCGACTTCTTCTTCAAGTGTGAACTGGATTGAGGGCTCGATCTGGTTGAGCTTGTCTTGGAGAGCTTGAACGTTGAAGTGCCTGGGAGTTATGAGGAGAATGTCGTCAACATAACGGAGCCAGGTGACAGTCGAAGGAATAATGGTGGAGAAACGCTCGGCTTCCAGATGTTCCATGTATAAGTTCGCCAGGATGGCACTGAGTGGCGAGCCCATGGGTAGACCAAAAGTCTGTTGAAAGAGGTGATTTTCGAAAGAGAAACACGTAAAGCCGACAC